GTCGCATCCTGCGTGACACGGCCGGGAGGACCCTCACGCTTGCACACCCTGTACGGTGCGCACTCGGGTCTGACGCCAGCCCCATAAATTCGTTCAGCAGGTTCCATCTGGATTCGGGCTCATGTCTGTATTTCAACAGTTGATGGGTGTACCAATTGAGCTAGGTTCGACCCCCCTTTTTCCTTCCCTGCCATTTGTTTGTCTGAGCCCATCTGCAGCATTGGCGGTCACCCTCCGGTCATGCTGGTTGGCCAATATCGCTCTCCGGCCTTCGTTGCAGCGATTCCGCATCCTTCAAGCTGCAGCCCCCCCCTGCTTTGCACGCTATATCTGTGTGATCCGACATCATCTGTGGACTATCTTTTCCATATTTCTTTTCCACATTTTATCTGGACTAATGTAGTCCGGGGGCCAAGTCCCACTGCCAATTCACTCGGTCCGGTATTCTATCGCCTTTGTTTGTGTGGCATCATCTAAAACTGATGATCTGTATTGATCGCAGGGTGCAGGTTTCTTATGAAAAAAGAACCGCCATCAGTCAGAACATTCAGTGTTCCTATTGGCCACGAAATCCGTGTATTCTGTAGGAAAAGAGGCTCGTCGGTTCTAGTCCTTAGCCGCTCCGAGGTCGGCTAGGGAATCAAACCCGTTTCGAATTGGGAAAAAAAAAAAAAAAAAAAAAAAACTGAGTGCGTGAAGAGGGACCAAGGATTCCTTCGACTTGGGGCGGGCTAGAGCGAGCCTGTCCCTGGAAAATGCGTGTTTGGCAGTGTCGTCCCCCGTACGTCTTACGGGGGGTCTCCGTACGGCCCGTGCGTACGGACGGACGGACGGCCGTACGGGCGTACGAACGGCGGCCGTACGACGGTGATTTGGGGGCCAAAAAAAACCCAAAAACAAATTAAAAAAAATGGGGTTGTAGATCTTGAAAAGATCTATCTACAACCCCATATTTTGTATTTTTATTTTGACCTTTGAAAGGATTTAAAAAAAATCAAAAACAAAAAAGACGAGAAAAAAAAAGAAAAAAAAAAGAAACTCGTGGCAAAAAAAAACGGGCAGTTGCCCCGGATGCGTGTGTGTGTGTGTGTGTGTGTGTGTGTGTGTGTGTGTTCGTG